TTTCTCCTCTAGTGACTGCCGCAAAGTGGAGGTTTCTGGAATTTCTGTGATCCCTTTCTTACCTTCTCCTATACTGGTGTATTGTGCATGCACAATAGGCAGTGCCCTGCGGCGTAGTGGATTGCAGCGGTTTTAAATTGAACGGTTGTTGAAGTGAAGTTATGATAGGTACAATCTAACATTAAGACTATTGCTGGTACTGTCAGTGTAGGAGCTACTGTTCGTACTGACAATGTTGTATTTATTAACCATCACTTTTATTATTGAAACGCTCAAGTGCCTGTGTACAACTTACAAGTTTGGCTCGTGTTGACATCTTTTTCAAGTTTCTAACTTACATCTACATCCATCAAAAATTGAACATAGAAAGCAATCTTAAATATTACACAGTATAACTACTCCATTTTGTAGCATTCAATAATTTATGCTAGATGCACGCAGAATGGTACAATATCGAAATATTTGAAGTAAACCTTAACATACTTTTAGGAGATTGCGTCAGTACGGCCTGAAAGGAGAGGATTGTGGGTATTTAAGCTTATGTAATAGAGGCGCCTCACAGTCACGTTATAAATTGTAAGACAAAATGGCATCATTACAACAGAATTCCCGGTTACAGTTTAGTCATTATAATTTCAGTCATCTGTTTATCTTCTGTGAAATATTGGAGATAATGAAGACAATTTGAACTGATTACATAAATACATGACAGTACACGGTCTACTGACTGTAGGGCGGGCAAGGCTGATTCAGAATTCTGATGGAAATTAGCGAATGAATCAATTTGAATGTTTGTCAGCGACTCGGTCAGGATAGTCTAACATCTAGCTAGCGTTAGTCTCTAGACTCAGAGGGGGCTACTGACTGTCTAGTGAAATGCGATGATATACACGCTGACTCAGTTGTCTGTAATCTACTACTGCGGCTGCTGACAGCCAGTCTCTTGGTAGATTGGGCCACTCACGGGTACAGCATAGCTATACTTCGAGGTTTACCAGCGCGAAATCTCTGCTCGATGTAAGTCGCTATTCTAGTATTAGGCCATGAGAATGAAAATCGGTTTACGTCCAAGGCAATGTTTAAAGTGATGAGGACTTTTTTTCATTATTCATTATTCATTATTATTTTTTCAGGCTGCAACATACAGTGAATATACAGTACAGACTAAAACATACAGGGTTTTTTTTTTTTTTGATTTATCGGATTTTTCAATCTGGGAATTTTCGGCTTTGAAGGTCGTCGAACTTCGGTCGTCCGGGACTTGACATCTTCGGATATATATCTAGCGGCTTGAAAAAGTGGACGATAGTCAGTCCGGACTGCCAGTTTGTCTAAAATCCATCAGAGATTGTCATGTTTAGGCTAATCAGTACACCTTGTGCACTTAGTCTATTTATGTTTCAGTGAGGGAATTTTTTTTGCAAATAAATGAAATTTTTGGTAAATAATGACTTTTTTCGGCCGAGGAGACTAAAGCGGAATTCGCGGCGCGCAGTGGACGGTAAACCGGATTTTTCATTCTCATGGCTTACTAGTATTAGTTAAAAATTTTCTGTATTAGCCGAATAGTTACTATTCGTTACTTACAGTATACTAAATAATACTAGTATTCGTATACGTATAGATATCATATGGTCCGTATTAGTTAATAGTATTTATGATAGTGAAGCCTAAAAGGCTACAATATTACGTCAAATAGTAAATAAAGGTATAATTAATAGTAGTATTAAACTATATATAAACTAAATGACTAGCTACAAGGAAACTCGCATAAGTCGACACTTTGGGACAAGCAAAGTGATGACCTGTAAATGTGTCAGCTTAATAATACCGATAATTAACGCGTCAAGTCGTCATTTGTCAACTCTATAAATGGTATGTAAATATGCGCGTATACAACATGTAATTAGCCGCTGACGAGCGGTCTCATGTCCCCGCGTGTCTGGTCCACTCGGTTCATCTGCCTACTCGGGTAGCCGGCGAACCGAGCTCACCAATCTCGAGACACCAAGCTCAATTAAATTTTTATTTATATAGGCATTTATTAGTATAGGCCTATATATTATATATATATATATATATATCATAAGCATGTGCATTCGTGTATGCACATACATAACATAAACATACATACATAATACGGTTCTAGCGACAAATACCCCCGGAACAATCACCCCCGCAATTACCCCCACGGACAATTACGCCCCCCATGCCATTTACCCCCCCAATCGCACAATTTAACCCTGGAAATTACCCCCGCCGCATTTAACCCCCCGCGACAATTACACCCCGCCCGGACAAATTACCCGGACATTTACCCCCCGGACCAATGCTACCCCCCGGACATTTACCCACCGCGACAATTACCCCCCGCGGACATTTACCCTCCGGACCAATTACCCCCGGACATTATACCCCCCGGACAATTACCCCCGAGACCATACTTACCCCGGACAATCACCCCCCGAGCAATCACCTCAACGGACATTTACCCCCGGAAATTACCCCCGGACACTTATCCCCCCGGACAATTACCCCAACGCGACATTTACTGCACTTGCGTGTTTATTTACTACATTGTTGACAGACATGATACAGAGAGGGAGGTCGAGGAGGAAGCCGAAGAAAGGTGGTGCGAGGAGGAGGAGGGGAGGAGGAGGTGAGGAGGTGGTGGAGTAGGAGAACGGGGGTGAGGCGGAGGATGAGAGGAGGTGTGAGGAGGAGGAGGGGGAGAACGTGCGAGAAGAGACGTGGATTGGGGAGTGAGGAAGGGGGAGAAGGTGGAGCGAGGAGCGAGGAGGACATGAGGAGGTGGAGGAGGAGGGGAGAGGAGGGGGAGAAACGGGGTGGAGCAGGAGAGACGGCGAGCAAGCTAGAGGATGGAGGGGGGGGAAGGTAGGAGGCCAGGAGGGGAGAGGAGGAGTTAAGAGGACCGAAGGAGAGTAGAGGAAGGGGGAGAAGGTGGTGGAGGCAGAGGAGGAGCAGAAGAGAAGGAGAGGAGGTGGAGGAGGCAGGGAAGGAGAAGGAGGAGCGTAGAGAGGAGGAGTTAGGCGGAGGGCGATGTGCGTGGAGCGGCGAGAGAAGGTGTGGTGGGAGAGAGAGCGAGGAGGAGGCGGAGGACGTGGAGGCAGGAGGAGAGGAGATTGAGGGGAGGGGAGACGTGGGAGAAGGTGGCACGGAGAAGGCATGGGGTGAGAGGGGAGACGCAAGGGTGGAGGAGGCAGGCAGAGGAGCGAGATGAGGTGGAGGAGGAGAGGAGGTCAGGGGAAGGGCAGGACAAGTAAGAGGAGGGCCACCTCTATCCTCCTCTACCTCCTCACTCCCTACTCCTCCTCTCCTCCTCCCACCTTCTCCTCTCTTCCTCCTCACCACCTTCTCCCTTCCTCCTCTACCACCTTGCCCTCCGCTACCTTCTCCCCCGTCACTCTCCATCCATTACCTCCTCACCTTCTCCTCCCTCCTTCCACCACCTTCTTCCCACGATTCTCCCACTCCTCCTCCAGCCTCTCTCCTCCTCCCTCCTCCGTTCTCCTCCTCTGCCATTACCTCCTCTCTACCTTTCTCACCCCTCCTCCTCACCACCTTTCCATGTTCTTCCCACTCCTCCTTCCTCCACAACTCCTCTCCTCTCTCTCCTCTGTTCCGCCACCACCTCGTCTCCTCCTTCCACCAATGCGCCTCCCAGCTACTTCTCCCCCTTCCTCCTCTCCACCTTCTCCCCCTCCTTCCCTACCGCCACCTTCTTCCCCAGGCTTCTCCCCTCCTCTCATTCCACCTCTCTCATCCTCCTCTTCTCTCCTCACACCTCTCTCCTCCTCTCTCCTCTCTCTCCTCCACACCTTCTCTTACCTTCTGCCCCCTCTCCTCCACCACCTTTGCCGTCCTACCTCTCCTCCTGCACATGTATCACTGACTTCACAATGATAATAAACACCAACGTGCAGTTAAATGTCCGGGGGTAATTGTCGGGGGCTAAATGTCCGCGGGGGATATTGAATCCGGGGTAATTGTCCCTGGGGGCAATGTCCGGGGGGGCATTTCCGGCGGTGTAAATGTTAGCGGGGGGTAAGTTGTCCGGGGGGTAAATGTCCGGGGGGTAATTGTCACGGGGTAATTGTCCGGGGGCGTAAATGTCCGCGGGGGTAAATGTCCGGGGGGGTAAATGTCGGGGGTTGATTGTCCGGCGGGTATTGTCCTGACACCATGATATACATACATGCAGACATGCATGATGCATGATGTTGACTGCAGATATGGCATGATAATACGGCATGATATTCGGCTGTTAACAGTGGAGAGTTCTTAGCCGAACTCTGACAGTCAAGGATCTGCAAATATCGACGCATGGTCTGCTCACGATAGACGCCATGCCTTTCCACCAAATGACGATCGCAAGTGTCGCACCTCCGAGAGAGACAGATTAGGAGACACGCACTGTGGAACAATTGTAGAACAGACATACTCAGCACTACGCTGTATGACAGCATGAGCACAGCCCAGTGCAGCAGCGAGATGTAGTGAGGTATCCGACTGGACAGGCTATGGCCATGGCTATGAAGAGAAGCGTTAAGTAAGCACTGACATGATGCACAGTGCTAGAATAGCATTACAGTGGAAAAGTAGGCTGGATTTCTGGTCTGTTGTCTTTTTACATATCATAGCCTCTTTGTGCTGAAATCCGTGGAAACTAAAAATTGAATTTGCAAATACAAAGATGACACTGAGTATAAGATACAAAATTTCAGGATCTTGCGAGGACAACTATTAGAGAAAATGATTTAGAGTTTTAATACATAGAGACACTATGGTGACTATATTAGTATTACTTATTGACAAATTAACTAAAACAAACGTTAAAGCAAAAACTACCTATCCGCGCAACTTTTTAGTATGCCTACACAGTACACTCCCACTGATGAGGTAATGACTAGTTTAGTAACACGTAGGACGTACTAGTAGATCACCAAATTTTCATCATCACCACATTGCCACCTACATACCTGCCCGATTTCTTTTCTTGGGGTTTTGTCTGCTGTATTGCCTCTGCCATCTTCCCAGTTCTGAAACACATAAGTAAATTATTAATACGAATTACATTGTTAAGACGATGAAACGCTTCTTACCTGGAGCAGAATGACGGCAGAGTACATGTTGTGTAGTACTAGGCTCTAGTCTCTAGACTCTAGCAGGCCTACTGACTGTCTAGTGAAATGGATGATATACACGTTGACTCAGTTTCTGTAAAATTGTCGTGTTGACATCTTTTTCAATCTACTTACATCTACACATCCATCAAAAAATTAACATAGAAAGCAATCTTAAAATAATTACAGTAAACTACTCATTTTGTAGCATTCAAATATTTAATGTAGATGACGCAGAATGGTACAATAATCGAAATTATTTGAAGAAACCTTAAACATACTTTTAGGAAGATTGCTCAGTACGGCTGAAAAGGAAGAGGATTGTGGGATATTTAACTTATGTAATAGATGGCGCTCACAGTCACGTATAAAATTGTAAACAAACTGCATTCAAAAAATTCCCGGTTACATTTACAGTCATTATTTCCATCATCTGTTTTCTTCTGTGAAATTTGAAGCTAATGAAGACAAATTGCAAACTGATTACATAGAAATACATGACAGTACGGTACTGACTGTAGCGGGCGCAAGGCGTATTCAGAATTCTGTGGAAATTGGAATGAATCATTGAATGTTTGTCAGGACTCGGTCCCAGGAAGTCTAACTCTAGCCTAGGCTCTAGTCTCTAGACTCTAGCAGGCCTACTGACTGTCTAGTGAAATGGATGATATACACGTTGACTCAGTTTCTGTAAATCTACTAACTGCGGCTGCTGACAAGCAGTCTCTTGTTAGATCTGGCCACTCGGTAACAGATACTATACTTCGAGGTTTACCCAGCCGAAATCTCTGTCGATGTAAGTCGCTATTAGTATTACTAGTATTAGTATTAGTATTACTATTAGTAATAGTACTACTATTACTATTACAGTATTACTAAATAATACTAGTATTAGTATTACTATAGATATTATAGAGTACCGTATAGTTTTAGTATTTATAATAGTAAAGCCTAAAGGCTAAATTAAGCTAATACTAGTAATAAGTATAATATTAATAGTAGTATTAAACTATTATTACTAATGCTAGTACAGTAAAACTCGCATAAGTCGACACTTTTGGGACCAGCATGTTTGTGTCAGCTTACATAATACGATAATTACGCGTAAGTCGTCATTTTGTCAACTTATACAATGTATGTAATGCGCGTATACACTGTATTAGCGCTGAGAGGGTCTATGTCCCCCAAGGTACAGCCGGAACGTACCTTAGGTATGATCCGGTATACCGGAACGTACCCTGGTACTATCTAATATGCCGGACCGTACCTCGCCTACTCCACTAACGAGTCTAGGGTGTCGCCTATGCATACTCCCTAACCCTAATCCTAATCCTAACCCTAACCCTAACCATATCAGATAGTTATCAGGGTACGTTCCGGCAGTACCCTGGGGGACATAGACCCTATGACCGTAATAGCTGCCTTGCGTAGCAGGACATTTGCGGTGCACGTCTGCCAAATTTTCTTGGAACACTTGCTGAAAAAAATACGGTAATTCCGCGAGGCCGTGCTCCAGCTGGAACGAACTAGTTAGTAATGTATAGCAGATTTAATTTTCAGGGAGTCACACGGACTCCTGCATATGTCAAATCAGGGAGTCCAACAGTAAATCAGGGAGTATTTGACTCGATCCGGACTCGCGATAATTTCGCACCCTGCATTGGGCTGCATACACTATATACACTATATAATACACTGTATACAGTGGGGAATCTGGGGGTGTGCGAGCTGCGAGCTGGAAAAAAAATGCAGTGCGTCCAAGTGAACAATGTGATTCAAACAATCCGTCTGCGACAGCCAGCTCGTATATTCCCTAGACCGTACACTGCGCAATCGGCATTTCTGATGTGATGGAGGTGGAATATTTCCCCCTTAACTTAAGGTATAGGAGGAAATACGGAATTGCGGCACAAATCTCAAGGCTCGACATACGCTCTGAATATTTGATGTATAGTGTGATGGGGAGGAAACCCATCACCTGCGCGAAATTGGAGGTCACAGGTCAAGGGGGAAAGGTCAGATATCAGATATTTTCTGAGGACATGGTCTAACAGACTGAGTGCAAAACTTTTTTGTTTCAGCGCTGACCTACCATTTTTATCACTTTATTGAAAGGACTGTGAAATCTACTTTCCGCTGACATGCGAAGAGTAAGTGTCTGATAACCTTTTGACCTTCAAGAGGAGGGTTAAACATGGATTTGTTGACTGTTAACAAAGGACTGAACTGCTTTTGCTATTAGAGCCCCCTCCACTCATCACCACCACTTTACTATTAGTAATACTATTAGTAATACTAATAGTATTAGTTACTAATAGTAATACTATTAGTATTAGTATTAGTATTACTATTACAGTATTACTAAATAATACTAGTATTACTAAAATTAGTATTACTATAGATATTATAGAGTACCGTATAGTTTTAGTATTTATAATAGTAAAGCCTAAAGGCTAAATTAAGCTAATAGTAATAAGTATAATATTAATAGTAGTATTAAACTATTATTACTAATGCTAGTACAGTAAAACTCGCATAAGTCGACACTTTTGGGACCAGCATGTTTGTGTCGGCTTACATAATACGATAATTACGCGTAAGTCGTCATTTTGTCAACTTATACAATGTATGTAATGCGCGTATACACTGTATTAGCGCTGAGAGGGTCTATGTCCCCCAAGGTACAGCCGGAACGTACCCTAGGTATGATCCGGTATAACGGAACGTACCCTGGTACTATCTAATATGCCGGACCGTACCTCGCCTACTCCACTAATGAGTCTAGGGTGTCGCCTATGCATACTCCCTAACCCTAACCCTAACCCTAACCCTAACCCTAACCATATCAGATAGTTATCAGGGTACGTTCCGGCAGTACTCTGGGGGACATAGACCCTATGACCGTAATAGCTGCCTTGCGTAGCAGGACATTTGCGGTGCACGTCTGCCAAATTTTCTTGGAACACTTGCTGAAAAAAATACGGTAATTCCGCGAGGCCGTGCTCCAGCTGGAACGAACTAGTTAGTAATGTATAGCAGATTTAATTTTCAGGGAGTCACACGGACTCCTGCATATGTCAAATCAGGGAGTCCAACAGTAAATCAGGGAGTATTTGACTCGATCCGGACTCGCGATAATTTCGCACCCTGCATTGGGCTGCATACACTATATACACTATATAATACACTGTATACAGTGGGGAATCTGGGGGTGTGCGAGCTGCGAGCTGGAAAAAAAATGCAGTGCGTCCAAGTGAACAATGTGATTCAAACAATCCGTCTGCGACAGCCAGCTCGTATATTCCCTAGACCGTACACTGCGCAATCGGCATTTCTGATGTGATGGAGGTGGAATATTTCCCCCTTAACTTAAGGTATAGGAGGAAATACGGAATTGCGGCACAAATCTCAAGGCTCGACATACGCTCTGAATATTTGATGTATAGTGTGATGGGGAGGAAACCCATCACCTGCGCGAAATTGGAGGTCACAGGTCAAGGGGGAAAGGTCAGATATCAGATATTTTCTGAGGACATGGTCTAACAGACTGAGTGCAAAACTTTTTTGTTTCAGCGCTGACCTACCATTTTTATCACTTTATTGAAAGGACTGTGAAATCTACTTTCCGCTGACATGCGAAGAGTAAGTGTCTGATAACCTTTTGACCTTCAAGAGGAGGGTTAAACATGGATTTGTTGACTGTTAACAAAGGACTGAACTGCTTTTGCTATTAGAGCCCCCTCCACTCATCACCACCACTACGCTCGCGCTCGACGCATATCCATGATAACGTTAATATAGCGAAGTCATTAAAGTTACACAGCTATATCTTTATTACTGTACTACCGGTATAGCAAAGCCTATCAACGTGGTGGCGGGAGGGCGCACTTGATTCGGTTGCCAGTGAGTTTATCAGAAGAATACCCGGCTACAGTACATGTCAGTTGAGCGCTGTCGCTCTGCGGCACTTGTTTGTATTACGTGGGACCTGTCTGAGGACGTCGACTTGTACATAATGACGACTTATAAATGTCGACTTAGGCGGGGCTATTCCAATGGATTTACTATGAGAGCGAATCGGAACTTTGACTTCCATGTCGACTTACGCGAATTGACGACTTAGACGATGTCGACTTACGCGAGTTTTACTGTAGTAGCAGGGTTCGAAATCCTAACGGGCCCGCGGGCCCGATGCCCGTATTATAAGGCTCGGGCCTGCATTTCTAATACTAGCAGGCCCGACAGGCCCGTAGAAAATCCACCCCAGCATGCAACTAGCAGCATGCACTATAGTCCGAGCCGACGCAGACCCCAGTAATGGTTTAACCCAGTTAAACCCGCACCCTCAGATTAGCAAAGCGGAGTTATAACGTCTGCATTTGCTGACAACATGCACTAGTGATCTCAGCGCCAGATTCAAGAAGAAATGCGACCACAGAAAATTTAGAACACCTCACGCACAACTTTAGTGGGCATTCAAGAAACATGCGTGACTGCGTGGGATGTTCGGACGCACAGGTTAGCACAAGTTCCTGAATGGCAGCAGACTAGCAGCATTGGCATACCAAAAATCGATAAGGAGTGGGGTGACCTGGGTTTATTTACGTGCACGGGTCATACGAGCACCATTCTCAAAGATTGTGGTGAGAGCAAAGTTATTTAAAATATACACGGCAACTGTAAAAGAGGCGGAAGAATAGGAATATTTCCGCAGAGGAAATTGACTTCATAATTTATGAAGTGGGACAGAGAAAGAGGACTGTTTGGAAGTTTTGCTGGCAACTAGCAGCTGTAGTTAATAAAAAAGACATGGCAAGCTGTGACTAAAACAGTCAATGCCGTATCCAGCAAGCCACAAACTCAAGATGATGTGGTTGTATGGGTGTGTGTGCGTGTGAGGTGATGTGAGTGTAGGTGAGGTGAGGTGGGGTATGACCCGGTGTGTGTGTTCAACTTTCATGTCTGCCAGGAAAAACTCAACCCTATAATATCTTTGCCTGATTTAGCTGGTTCCTTAGATGTTTACATTACTCAACCTTTTTATTTGCTCTTGCCATGAAATCAACTAACCGACCCTACGGAGCATTGTTTTTCTCTGCCCTATATGTCCCAAACATTAGCTTTATCATTCAAGATGTATGATCCACACAGTAAATAATCAGTGTGGGTGTGTGTGAACGCGTGTGCGTGTATGATGATGGAGACGTACCTAAATGCCTGTTTGTGCGTACAAACATAAACCGTTGTAAAAATGTCAAATTTCAGTCTTTTATTTAAAAAAAATGCTGCGGTATCCAGGGAATGATGCGGGCCTGTAAAATCCCTTACCTACAGGCCCGGCGGGCCTGTAAATTTTCAAACTAATTTCTACCCCTGAATAGTATTGTTAACTTTATCGGTAGGCTGTATAGCCTAGCCGTTCGCTCCAGCCTCCACTAGTAAAAGCAACGTGAGTGCTAATGACGGAGCAAATGCCGAAATGATTGAATAGGGGCATAGGTATATATGCAAACATGTGAAGTATGTGTTTTTATATATCTACGATATCATAGGAGTAAAGCGGTTAAAAAGTAGACCAGACCCATGTACAGTTGGGTCTAGGTACGGTTATAACCCAAAACAGGGTAATAACGCTCATAGGGTCTATGTCCCTCAGGGTACTGCCGGAACGTACCCTGGTAACTATATATCTGATATGGTTGGAGTTAGGGTTAGGGAGTAGGCGTAGGCGACTCCTTAGACTCGTTAGTGGAGTAGGCGAGGTACGGTCTGGCATATTAGATAGTATACCGGACCGTACCCAGGGTACGTTCCAGCAGTACCCTGGGGGACATAGACCTTCTCAGCGGTAATAACCGTATGCTAGTAATGGGTTATATTATCGTATCTAAGCTGGAGCATTTATAACAATGGTAATTGACCCATTTTTCTGAGTGTGATAACTATGCACCCTTGAATATCGCCGTTACTGTGGCACGAAGGGTCGTTGTCGTATAATGGCGTATTATATGTACCCGAGGTAACTATTTGGTATGGTTAGGGTTAGGGAGTAGGCATAGGCGACATACTTGCCGACACCTCGGGGTACTATACTCGGGTACATATACGACAACGACCCCTTTCAGCGTTACTGTGCTAGCAGGTCGGACAAGGTAGACTAGCTAGGTTTATATGTTTTTCACGGTTTCAATTTTATGACACTTTGTTACTGAGCGCTATTATTAGAGTGTCCCTGTTTCAATGCAGATTGGCTAGAGCTACCAGTCAAACACCCTATGTAGATAAGCCTATGGGGTCCACGGAAACCATCGCAATATGAAATTATCATCAAACAAGTATAGGAATAATAGGCAGTACTTAAACATAATTGCCTAGTAGTACGCACTGCCTGAGAAAATGAGCATGAAGAACTCACAAGAAAATAAATGCCCTTATTGTAAAAAATATTTCACGGTTATATGAGTACATGTTGTCATATGACAGGCACATTGTAATACAAGATAATACAAAAGAAATGTATCATTATTCAATATATCCACCTGTAGCTGTAAAGAAATAACTAATAGAATTCATACATACATACATACATGTGTGACTGCACGCACGTATGGCATGATAATCGGCATGTATATCGGCTGTTACAGTGGAGAGTTCTTGCCGAACTCTTGACAGTCAAGGATCTGCATATTCGACGCGGTCTGCACACGATAGACGCCATGCCTTTCCCACAATGCGAATCAGCAGTGTCGCCTCACGAGAGAGAAGACATGAGGATCACACTGTGGACATTGTAGACAGCATACTCAGCACTACATGTATGACAGATGGCACAGCCCGTGCAGAGCGGAGATGTAGTGAGGCTATCCGTGACATGGCTATGGGCATGGCTATGAAGAGAAGCGTCAAGTAAGACTGCATGCCATGGCACAGTTGTGAATAGCATTTACATTGAAAAGTAGGCTGGATTTTGTCTGTTGTCTTTTTACCATATATAGCCTCTTTTGTGCTGAAATCCGTTGGAAACTAAAAAATTGAATTTGCAAATACAAACAGGTCACTGAGTATAGATGATACAAAATTTCAGGATCTTGGAGGGATATTAGGAAATGATTTAGAAGTTTTACATACATAGAGACATATGGTGACTATATAGTTTACTTATGAAAATTAAACTAAAAAACGTTAAAGCAACTAACTAGAAATTGGCCATTTTATGTTTATTCCTAAAGACTAAGAACAGAAGCAAGAATTCATCGCCAGAAACGTGGTTGCTTTGGGGAGTTAAAGTACAGCACAGCTGTGGTAAGGACAAAGTGACTGAATCAATTGCAAGGAAGTTTGCAAGGTGGTCCCACTGAATAACGAATGCGAATAGAAATATGACAACATTCAAATTTCTGTTAGTTATAATTCCATTTGTGAAAAATTAAACTGATTCAGTTCTTACAGCAATTATTTAGCAAGTGATAATGCGTGTGAGAAAGCTTTGACTTTCTCTTCCAGAAATGGAAACGATTTAAGGAGGATGTGAATAATCTACTGTTTTCGGCTGAACTGTGGAGAACACCACTGCTCAGTGTCACCGGAAAATTCGGCAGTGGTGTCCATAGCTACTTCCTTTTCCTCAAGTACATCCTTCTGCTCAATATTCCAACATGCCTTCTTCTCATGACCTTCATATTTGTAAGTCGGTGTATCACTTTCTGAATCATTTCGTGTTATATATTGCTCAGCTAGAACAGTGCAGGAGGTTGTAGAAAATAGTAACCGTAATTTCAGTTACAGTAAATTGTTACTGGTTAGAAGGATTTAGAAATTAACATGTAAATGTATGATGTCATCTTGATTTTGAATATATGTGATTATTGTTTGTGTTTGTCTCCTTTCATCAGATTCCCCATGTCATGCACCGGTGTACTGCACTGGAACAGATTCTCCCAAGCCAGAACCTTGATTTCACTGGATTGGAACTTATCACTGGTGGTGTAAGTGGTTTCAATCTTTTATAAACCACCATTGCTTTCAACCAAACCTTTTCGCCTCACCTTAGCAAAGTCTAAAATTAGTTTACATCTTGTCTCATGGTTGATCCGTGATTGAGTGCTGCTTTTCACTAACTCGAGTGAGTTGAGTGTCAATTGTTGAGTTGCTTGTGGAGTAGAAAGAAATGCATTAGCAGGGATAGAAATTAACTTTTGAACAAAGGAGTCTAACGGACTCCCTGCCCCCAAAAAGAGGGAGTCCACAGCAAAATGACTGAGTCCGCAGGCTCCGGACTCCCGTTAATTTCGCACCCTGCATTAATTATGCCAGACTCTAATATTCAATACAAATTTATGTTCTATGTGATAATCCCTAATGAACCAGTTTGCATTGTTCAGGGCTTTCTCAGCAGAACAGAGATGTATCAAGGAGTCTACGCAAACGGAACTGTCCAACCCATACCTGGCTATAACTACAATATGAAGATGAGTTATTTGCTGACGATGGTTGCTTATTATCTTCTCTGCTTGATTGTGATAGCATCCAGGTAATTTGATACTGCTATGCATAAAACTATTATGTTAGTATGGGTTTGCAAAGGTGAGAAATATATCAATTTTAGTTAGACTTTGTTAAAAATTTACTGACCCACGATGATATTATACTGGCATTACCGCTATGAGTACACAAGCAAAGTAGTTATCTAGATGTTAATGGTTTCTATGTTGAATATGAGCACACAAATTTATGAGTGATAGTCCTCTGATAGAATTTATGTGATTTTTGTATGTAAATCGGCTCTAAAGCAAAGCACACAAATTTCAGGAAACGAGCGTACAGCTTGTTCTCTATTCATATTTATAGCATATATATCTAATAGGTTACATACACTAAGTAGCTAACAGCAGTAATACGACAGCTCTGCAAAGCTATATTTGCATGTGATTGAAATTGTGATAAGTATTTGTAAATATCTCGAGGCATGAATCTTTGACTACATTATTGAGATAAAGGGCACCCTTGTTACAAATTATCAAATTATGTATGTGGATTGAACGGCCAATGTGTAGGTAATGGACTTGTGTTTTGCTGCTATTCAGTATGGCCAGATCCTACAGAAAGGCATATATTGAGAAAGATGTCAGCACAAGTAATGCCTTTATCTCCAAGGTCTTTGCTGGGTGGGATTATGGCGTCACCTCTAGTGAAGCTGCCCTTCTGAAACAGAAGAGCATCTATTTTAGTTTGCAGGTAATCAAGATACATTGTTTCACATATGTTGCAGGTTATCTTTTTTAGTAATTTACTGGTTTTGGAGCTTGGCTAGGCTTCATTACTTAATACTGGTAGATAGGACTAAGGTGTTATTAGAAAGTTATGGAATTAGATGCATACCACATTCTATGAGTTTGTATGTGAATTACACATCACATCTTCATACATTGCAGTGTTTCCCCTATAAAAAATCGTGAGCAAGGTGGCATGCAGCTAGGTTGAATAAATGAGTACTGAAGGCGCTGACGTCAGCGCCTACGTATTAAACGTGCCTAGAGCACGCCTGATTGTCGCGTGCCTGGAATGTGATCGCACCTGTGGTGTTTGATTTCATGTGTGTCAGCACTGATCAATACATGGGAACGTGGGGCAAGATACGTAGGCGACCCCGGGAATAGGGAGTACCGGCCGGATAATGATTTGGGGGGAAGGTAAAAATTTGCAGCGAGACAATTTCAGCAAATATTGCACGAGGCGTATGAATCAGCAAAGTGACCCGCCTGCTTATCATATACTAGAGGAAACACTGCATTAATTTATTATCTGAATAACAGATTTATTTTTATCTGCATATTTTCCTGGTTGTGTGAAATGTCAAGCAGACTTGAACATTAATCGGTCATGATGCATGACCTACCATCTTGTCTTTCTAGGAGCTGCTGAGTAGATACCGCACTACAGAACGGCGATCCCTCCTCAAGGTCGTTGAGCTGCTCGTATGGCGTGTGCTGATGACCCTGCTGTCACTGTTCCTCCTGACATGCTCCTGCTACCTAGTCCACTTGCTGCAGTACACCAAATCTCTGCAGGTATGTTAGCAGTCAGTAGAAATGTCACCCTTATAGTGAGGGTGTTGGCCAGTGCTTTACACTTATGTTGAGGGCGTGTGTAATGTTAATGATGAAGCGAAAGCATGATTGGATGGGTTAAATACCTCTTCTAACTTTCGCTTGTTTAGCATTATAATTACAATTCATTGTGAGTCGACAACTACCTCGCAGTTTTTCTTGCATATTCCATGAAAATGGCATCCTAGATCTCGTTTCTGTTCGCCGAGTCGTATGTCATACGTTCTTTATGCATTTGCGCAGGGCACGAATAAAAAGCTTCTGGATGGACTGCTCATACCGGGTTGTGTAACGCTACTCAACCAGCTGCTGCCAGCACTGTTCACATTTATTGCCAGGAAGGAGGGTTACAACAGCGCACGCGGTGGACTCATCCTCACCATGCTGAGGAGCAGTACACTGCATGCCCTCACACTCGGTATGTGCACAGACAAGCACTCATGCACGTACTCCCTCCCACACACGCACACATGCCTGCGCGTAGGCAAACATGCATATCCATGCACACACGTGCATGCAGACATGCTGGGAAAAATACAGCAGTAGAGGTTAGCCAATCGTTGAGAATTAGAAATGAGTAGAAATAACAGAGTAGTCTGAAATGTCATCAAAGGTAGGTGTCCATGCTTGATGCTCACATATTTCGTGTAGGTACATTAATGTACTACTGGTACAGAGACGGCATCTGTGATCCAAAGAAAAATACGCGTTGTCCCTCCTGCTGGGAAGTGAACGTTGGCAAGAACGTCTATCAACTAGTCATCTTTGACTTCCTCCTTAGTCTCGTCATCACCTTCTTCACTGAGTTCATGTGGAAGGTCCTATCCTCCGTGTGTTGTCGAAAGTAAGTTAGTCATGGTGCTGACATTGGTAACAGTGCAATTCTGCTAATGTGGAGATGTGAAAATTGCTGCGTATATAAACGGGGCCCGTACAGGTAACTTGTTGTCTGGCACTAATGTTACCCATGTAATGGCACTACGACTGTACGCTAATGTTCAATAACTCACCATTTTTATACAAGCCGAGTACAGATAATTCTGTAGAAAACACCATAACTTCTATTAGAAAGCACCGACAGTAATCCATTTCTTTCTTTTCAAATTGTTTCCAATGTCTGTTTGTCATTGCACCACAGAACCATGTCTCCTCCACAATTTGGCATTGTGGGCAATGCATTAGAGCTCGTCCACTCACAGACTCTGTGCTGGCTTGGAGCTTTCTTTTGCCCAGTCCTACCACTGATCGTCATTCTCAAGCTCGTCATGATCTTCTACATCAAGAAGGTGTGTGTAGCTCATCAGTCTGTAGATGAATACGATCACACATTTAGCACGAGTGTATCTTCCGTACTATACGTGAAGCTGTGATTATTGAGAGTTTCATGTTTAAATTCAAGATGAAAACTTCATTAGGAAGTTATTCATGTTACTTTGACAACTTAAATAGTATAAGCCAATTTGATTTACAAACTTTGAAAATGCAGTGATGTTTTCTTCACTCTTTATAGTTTAATGACTGAACTCTTCTTCCAATTTACCATTCTGTTCAAAGTAAACAAAAGTTGTCCCTTACAGGTACCTCATATAGCGAGCAATATTGGTGTGAACAATGATTCAAATTGCCCAGTGTTGTAGATATTTAGTCAGTTTAAATTTCATATTGTCGAAGTATTTGATGATGTATTTACCATTATTATTACTAGTTTTTTGTATTTTCATTCGCAAATTGCTTCTCGTGAAAAGGTGACCGTCATTTTATTTGGGGACGTGCCTTGTTTGCAGCTGAGCGCAATGCGAAATTGCAGGCCGTCTATGAATGTGTGGAGCACGTCGCGGGCGTGGGCACACTTCATGCTCGTCTTCTTCCTCGGCTTTTGTACGGCTCTTTGCTCGACGGGCGTCGCTGTATTCATGTGAGCTTCTTGTGTGTTCTCTCGGTTTTAGAAGTAATAGGTGATGGTAGGTAGTGGTAGTTGTAGGTTAGGGCAGTATAGGTGGTAGATTCGAGAGGGAGCAGTGGCTGGAGATGGGAGAAGACAGGAGAGAGTGTAGGGGCTGGATGTAGTAGATAAGAGTAATGGTGGCTGGTGGTAGTACACAGGGAGGGAATAATGATGAGAGGTGGTAGTTTTTATGTACTATAATATTCATAGCTTACATAGTGTTATGTGGTACCGTACAAGACTTGTAGCATCTATGTATAATACAGTCATTCTTTAATACAATATAGGTCACTATAATCAAACACAAAAGCTAATGATACCATCACTATTCACTTACTGAGAAAATACTAGATACATACATATAACTCCTAAAAATATTAGGTCAGCCAAGACAAGGGTGAGGCAGATGTGCATTCATGTGTGAAGTAGATTCATAGTGCTTTCCTGCTCACATGTGTTTTGCTGGTTTGCGCAGGGTGAAGCCGTCACAGGGCTGCGGACCGTTCCGCAAGCAGCAGTCTGTCTATGACACTGTGAACGAGCTGGTTAGGTACCTGATGATGACTCAGCACTGGCTGGGAACTCTCGTCTCCCTCGTCACCGCACCAGGCATCATTGCTGGTGTTCTTGTCGCTCTGTGGTGAGCATATTTCACGCCTCCGAATTTGTCATGTAGCTGTAGATGTGATATTGGGGGAAGACGGGCCAAGAAATGCCCCAATTCTATGAACTCAAGTTAATTTTATAGAAGGGTGATGGCAGTTGAGCGTGCAATAAAGAACATCAGCTCGTTGCCAGTGCCATTGTTGTGGTAAATAAAAAAATCATGACAGAATTAGGGTGTAAAGGACATGTATAGATGACACACGGTCTCATTCGTTTTCAGTACTGTGGTGTACTATGCAAAGACACTGGCAAGTGGCAAGCAGCAAGTGGTGCAACTTCTACGTGAACAGGTGATGATGGTAGGTACTCTTTCTTTTCTACCCATACAGACACTTTCTCTCCGAGGAAGATCAGGCAGTACAGCCTGTTTCACAAGTGAGGTGAGGAAGTATGGCCCACCAGAAGGGTCAGATAAACAGGCGTGACTAATAAGGTCGTCAAGAAGTGTGACCTGCATCTAGGTGAGGGCATCAAGTGTGACTTGGTTAGCTGATGAGGTTAGCAAATTTGATTTTGCGTGAGGTCAAGCAGTATGACCTTTCTGGAGGGCCACAATGCTGCTCAGTACGGCATCTGATGATTCATTGATTGTAGTTTGTGTAGTTTCTAGTGGTTTCATTTTCATGGTTTTAGGAAGGAAGAGATAAAACGTTTTTGCTGAAGCTGCTGCAGAGTATAGCTAGTAACGATGTTTCCGCCCCCAGCTGGCTGTCCTGCAGTACGTCATCAGGTTAGTACACATGACTGCTTCTCAATTTTACAATAACAGCGGCTTATTAATACTCTTACTTTTGGAGGTTTTGCCGTTTTGGCTGCAGAATTAAAAAGTAACGTGTGAAGGGAGGTATAAGTGTGTTTTGTAATTTCTGTTTTTATCTAGGCCATGCAGATCATACAATTAGGTCTGGCTTCATAAAACCTACCACCTGAGCTCTGGCAGCAGACCTTAGGAGGTTTTCATGGGCAACAAGACAATTAGCAATCCCCACAGACAACCATGATTCTCAGTGGAACACAAAGCAGAACATGGGCAAGTCGAAGTGCCACGAGTCGGTGCTTCTTGGTTAGCATGGATGCCAGTGCTTACCTGCCTGTGGTGAGCAAACGCGAGCAGCTGACTGACTACATTGCTGACCTTACACATTTCGTGGCTGGATACTGACATGGAGCCGGGTCAAAGGTACTGGATCGAACCGAATAAATCAGGTTCCAATGTGAACTGCGACGGGATATCGTTCACGTGGAAGAAGTGCTGTTTCCTTAAGAATCTTAGCTGTTCGTTGACACAAGTGCAAAGATGGAAAGGCAGTCAATCAGTTGGCAGCATCTGATGAGGTGGTAGTTGTGAGGAATGTTGTACGTAGGAGTCATCAGAGGTTGTGAACAGGGAGCAATAGTATTCGATCTAAAGTCTTTCAGAAACAACAAGTGATGTCTACAGTTATTATTTGGGATTTTTGCAAAATTATTATTTTTTACTTTTGTAGTTTATTTATTGCAATATGTCTAAATACAATATGTTGTAATAATCTGATTTAAATATTTACTTTGACATATGAATACTATCATTACATAACGCTCTGATATGAAATGTGATATATAATCTATTGTAATTTAATTTCTTCTACATGATAATGTATTTTTTATTTGTTCTACGTAATAATAATTTACGTTATACATAACTGTATGAAATGTTGTAATTGTTTTCTAACATTGAACGTCATGTTATAGCAAAGTTATCTAATGACACATTTTAAAAGTGTTTTTTACGCAGTAATGTTTGCTATATCTTTATAACATAGTATATTTGAATTGATGTGTAGATGTTTGAGTTGTCCTGCATGTGTCCGTAATTAATGAGTCATGTCGCCGTGTAAGAATGATGTTATTCATGCCAGCTTCCTCTTGCCTCTTCCTACCGTTTGTGTGGAGGTCTTAAGCTTTTTTTTAACCTATATCTAACATTAGTACTAGTCAAATGTATTATTATACACTACCCTTTCAATCAATATCTACTGGCAAAGTCACCTGCGTCAATGCAGGTATTGAACATACTAAATGTCAAATTCTATTTCACTGTTTATACTTTCTACTTTCACTTCATACATTTAAGCATTACTTTGTCAGTTGTTGATTGCATGAAAACATATCAATTCAAGAAAGAATGACACAATTGTGGGTCGCTACGCTGTCAGACTGTGAATCTCATGTACCCTACACGAACAATCATGTTGAGTCGTAAAGAACCACATCTTGCAAGTAAGTGCGGTCATGCAAACACGCCCACGGACGACGGCACGTATTTGAAAGTGTTGAGTTTTGGAAACATTAAAAGGACACTGCAGGGGTTGCAGCCATAGAAATATATATGACACATAGTCTAACTAGTATATTATTTCTATGGTTGCAGCAAATATGAACCATGAGTAGCTATAACCCTATATTTCTTATTTTTTGCCTCATTTCCATTTTCCCAAGTTTTGGATAGCCTGGACAACAGAGTGAGACTATAACGAATACGTATTCGTTCGTACACGAAAATTTTTTATTCGTTGGTCTGTTGCCTGGCCTCTACCCGCAATGTTAGTTTAACCTACCTCACCCCCGTAGGAACCCTTAGCCTCTTCGGACTATCTTTTGTCGCACCCCTGGCACTGTGCCAACCTCCCCTACCTAAACGCGCGTGCACACACGCACACGTACCCGCGCGTGCACGTGCACGTGCACCATTACTTACCGTAACTAACTCATTTTGCCTAGGTAAAAGGTTATGGATAAAAGGATGGGAGGGGCAAGGTTATGGGGCTTTGCGTTCTGGACAGTTGAACGTTGGCAAAACATCGTTGACGCTGCCAGGGAATGAGGGGCATCAGCCCCAATTCACATGTAATTTTTAGCTCAGCTGACGAAGTCAGATGCAGCTTGTAGAATCGCATGAATGTCCGTCCGTCCGTGCGTCAACAGTTACGGCACAAATCTTAACCGCGCGACGTACGATCTTGATATTCGGCACGTCAGGGGAGATCGCGAAAGAGACTCGGATGTCGAATTTGGGGGTCAAGGGTCAAAGGTCAAGATGTGTCAATGGAGGGGGAATATTTCCCCCTTACCTTAAGCCTTAAGGTATAGGAGGAAATACGGAATTGCGGCACAAATCTCAACGGCTCGACCTACGCTCTTAATATTCGATGTATAGTGTGATGGGGAGGAAACCCATCACCAGTGCGAAATTGGAGGTCAAAGGGCAGTGGGGGAAAGGTCAGATATCAGACATTTTCTGAGGACATGGTTTAACGGACCGAGTGCAAAACTTTTTTTGTTCAGCGCTGACCTACCGTTTTTATCACTTTATTGAAAGGACCGTGAAATCTACTTTCTGTTGGCGTGCGAAGAGTAAGTGTCTGATAACCTTTTGACCCTCAAGAGGAGAGTTAAACATGGATTTGTTGACTGTTAACAAAGGACGGAACTGCTTTTGCTATTAGAGCCCCCTCCACCCGCCCTCCCCACCTCCCCCCACCACCACCACTAGGCTCACGCTCGACGCATATCCATGATAACGTTAATATAGCGAAGTCATTAAAGTTACACAGCGATATCTTTATTACTGTACTACCGGTATAGCAAAGCCTATCAACGCGGTGGCGGGAGGGTGCACTTCATTCGGTTGCCAGTGAGTTTATCAGAAGAATACCCGGCTACAGTACACGTCAGTTAAGCGCTGTCGCTCTGCGGCACTTATGAAATTATACGTCTGTAATAAGCACATTATCACTAGTAACTAACTATGGCAAATGTTTTCAATGACTCACTTTAGTAATTATAAGCCGGAAGACATTTCAAACCTCCTTAAAACGCGCGATAGCATATGAACCCACATAATTATGCTAGTGCATATGTCTACTACAGTGTTTGCTAATAGAAATCTAATTTTACAATTATGTATTTAAAAAGAAGTGGACATGCTTGGGAATAGTTTTCTATGGAAAAATATAAAACACCTTGCATCCGTCATACAATGAGAGGGAGCCCAATTAATTTTTCATCACAATTACTCGCAACGTTGTATAAAAATGTGTACATTTTCTGCTGCATTTCGTCGGCGCTAGTGTCGCACACGATAAGCATGACGATAAGTATAGTGTTTACTGGCTAAACGAAATCTATTCATGTATAATTTTGTTAAAAATTATACACTTCTATTTCGAAGACACGCACAAGCATTTAGATATGGGAAAAAGTTGATACAAGTGAATTTTTTCGTTAATTGTAAGGCGAAAAATATTCGAAACCCCTTAAAACGTGCGATAGATTATAGGGTCAGAAGTATTTGTGCGCATGCCTACTTTTTGCTAACAGAAGGCAAATGTTGTTAGAATTGTGTATTAAAAAAGAAAAAGAAAATTATATATAATCAAAAATAAGGTTCTATGTAAAACATAAAACGCACCGCCTCCCTTATGTAACGATAGAAAGCCCAATCTCCATCTTGCGACAAAGCCCCCTTACACTGAATATAAGATTACCTGCGCGTACCTACTAAGTACTATCTGCTAAAGGACGTCACATTTTGTTGGAACTGTGTATGTACAAAATATATGACATTCAGGAATAGGTTCCTTTAAAAATGCAAGACGCGTTGCCTCCCCTATATGATAAGAGGGAGCCCAATCCTCTCAGCATCCCACCACCCGATTCCCCGCAACGCCAAATGAAATTATGCATGTTTTTCGCAACCGTTGGTCGGCGCTAGTGTCACGCATGAAAAATGTGTGTTTTACTAAACGAAATATATTTTTATCAGGGTCGGTAGTAACTCATTTTGCTTGTAGGGGCAAAGCCACGGGTGAGACACTAGACCGTGGACAGTCTCCGTTGACGTTGCCAAGGTCTGGGAGCTTGCTTCTATTCTGCCCCCCACCACCAGCTACACGGCTCCTCAGCACACGCACGCACGCACGCACACAAACACACGCACGCACGCACGCACACAACCACGCGAGCGCACGCGCACGCACAATAACGCACTGTGATTTAGAAGAGAATAGCTAACATGATAAATGTATTTGTTTTGTTCTTTATTGTTCTAATAAATCATTCCCGTTACAGCTGCAATATCAATTTGTCGCACGTGAAAGCGCGAAGTGACTGCCGGTATACAGGGATCTCGATAATTAATTGAAATCTAAGTACCAAATATGGCATATACAAGTATTCTAAGATATTTTAAATTTGCGTTTCAGCTGAATCTATTTAAATTTGATCAACTTCAGGCAAATAATTTATGAGAAACAGATTTACTTGTGACTAAAATCCATATATATATAGAGAGAGATATATATATATATATATATATATATATATATATATATATATCTAAGAGCTAATAATACCTCTTAGCTATTATACGTATTATTATACGTATTATTAGCTCTTGATATATTATATATATATAGGCCTATAGTGTCGTAGACAGGTCCTCAGTTGTGGGGGGATGATTTCGCTGTTACTTCCATCACAAAGTATACGAAGAATATGTGCGCGTAGCGCACACCGCGAGCGCCACAGGCACTTGAACGTCTCGAATAAAAAAAAATATTGTAAATAATTCTAGGGTTATTTTTTTCTTTGGCTCCCAGAGGTTTAATAACACGCAACCCCCCTCCCACAACTACAGCACTGGAATCATCTCCGTCGGAAATTTTGATAAAACATATTTTACTGAGAACGCTAAAACTCGCTAGAACCCTAAAAGTATGAGAAAAACAACCAGATTTGAACCAAAAAGTGCATATTTTCACCCCTTATACAAAATAGGGAATATACTTCCGGTCGGGTTTCAGCAGCCTCCCCCCACTCCCACACAAAAAAGTGTGATGAAATTGAATTTTCCCCCATTCAATCGCCGTGAAATTTCAATATCCCAACTCTCAATAGGTCTATTCTAATTTTGAATAAAGCAGGAATTTAACATTCGTGAGCAGTGATAAGACGTGATTTGAAGATTTTGAAAACAAAATCGTACCGGGGAATGCGTTCAAAATTAACCGTCAGAGTTTCAGTAAAATAATGTCATTCTTGGAACGAGTTACAGACATTTTACAGTAGATGTATGTCACTTTCCATTTGTGTAATAATACATTAGGAGAGTATGAATAGCGATGACGCATTTGTAGATAAATGTTCAGTATTTATTGTCTGTAAAATATGAAATTTTTCCCCATTTCCTCCTTAAAGTAGAGCTAGCAGCACACTTCACCATTTTCGTTGCTCGTACAGGCAATTTTCGTGGTCGCCACAAAAATGCCAAGTGTGCGGGGCCCGGCAACGACCACTCGCACCGGAAATTTAGTGGTGACCACGAGTTGCCGAGAATCAAACCGGTTTGATTTCTCACCACGAAAATTGCCTGTACGAGCAACGAAAATGGTGAAGTGTGCTGCTAGCTTAGGGGGGATGATTGTACACGCCATCCCCCACCTCAATAAGTGGGGGGATATATCCCCCGCGCTATCTACGCCCCTGAGTGTTAAGGACACTCTGCACGTATATCATGAATACTAAAACATGTCAATACGTACGTGCAGGCGGGTGGGTGCGTGCGTGCGCGATGTGTTAGTGTGTGTTAGTGGGTGTGTGTGTGTGTGTGTGTGTGTGTGTGTGTGTGTGTGTGTGTGTGTGTGTGTGTGTGTGTGTGTGTGGTGTGTGTGTGTGTGTGTGTGCATGTGTGTGTGTGTGTGTGTGTGTGTTGTGTGTGTGTGTGTGTGTGTGTGTGTGTGTGTGTGTGTGTGTGTGTGTTGTGTGTGTGTGTGTGTGTGTGTGTGTGTGTGTGTGCGTGCGTGTGTGCGTGTGTGTGTGTGAAATGAAGATTTATACTTATAGACAAAAAATATTAAGTAACTGATTAGTAAAGAAATGAGAGTAGAACCTAACTTCGCATTAAAATGTTAGAATAACCATGCAGATAATGGAGATAGAAAAATACAGACAGGTGATGTTAAGTCACAAAATAGTGACG